TGTTTCCCTTTCAGGTTCATCGATTGATAAGACAGAAATCAGGGCCTGGCATTTGTACCTTCTTGGAGGGAGCAAGGTAGGGGGAAAGCTGTGTGTGCTCTTGGTGTGGAAGAACCGTCCTGCTAGCTGGCGGATGGACCTGAGCCTGCCTTTGTGTCCGAGTCTGTGCTCCCAGAGCTGGGCACAGCCTCACCCAGCACACCTCGGGCCCCGCTCTGCTCTCCCAGCCCTGGGTTTCTCCCGAGATATCTGACAGCTGGGATGCAGGCGTGCGTTCCCCCAGCCGCTTTCCAGGAGCTCTGCGGCGCTGCCGTGCCTGGGAATGGTGTCGCTGGGTGTTTCCCAAGGGGTGGAGGGGAGAAAAGGGGTTTCCCTCTCCCTACTGGGGTGATGCTGCAAGGCTCACAGGCTGGGAGCTGCTTCATCCAGGGTCTGGGCTTGGGGAGAGAGGAGGGAACCTGCCCTTCCAGCCTGGGGAGCCCCAGTTTAGCAGCACAGGCCAGACTGGAGCTGCTGGGCAGAGAAACCAAGTGGGGCCGAGGCACTGGGCACTCAGTGAGCGTTCAGCCGGGATAAGAGCTGGAGTGGCTGGGGGGGGGGAAGGAAAGCCTGCCTGGTGGATTGAGGTTGTTGTTGTTGAAGGATGTTATGGAGACAGTCCACTTACCATCTTGGCTGCTGTGCTGGATTTGATTTGTTCTTTCTTTTTTTCCCTGCTCACGTCCCCATCAGCAAGCTACGTGTGGGACACAAATCATCAGAGGCAGTGGCACACGAAGCGATTCTCCCTGCTGGCACAGGCGGGATCGCAGAGCAGCACGAGCGGTGATGGGGAGGCCAAAGACAACTCGCTGCTTTCTTGCTTGCAAGCCCTGAGACGCTTTGGAGGAAGGAGGCAAGAACCCAAGCCTGCTAGTTCATGAGAGGGATGGTGGATGCTGTGCAGATGCTTTTTTTTATCAAGTAGCTTTCTCCAGAGCTGGTAAGTAGTGGGGACAGGCAAGTGTTGCAGCACGTGGCTGCTGCGGGTGGGAAAGCACCTGGAATATCCCGCAGCATCCAGGAGAAGGAGGGTTGTGGAGCAGGATCGTCCTGGTCGCTCAGGGCACAGAGGCAGACTCCGTGCTGTGCATGTCTGTGGGAGCAGCTGGGCTGGGTGAGGAGGTTTTCCAAGCGATTGTGTGGGATGTTTTCCTTTTGATTCCTCAGCTGTCATTCCTTCTGAAGACCTGGCATGCTTTCCTCGTGGTTTGCCTCCTGCAAGCCCTCTGTTCCCGTTGGGGACCGGCCGCTCGGGGCGCTGACCTCCAGGAAACCCTGCCTAGGTTCGCTTCCAGGGGGTGCAGCCTTTCCTTGCCCCCCTCTGTAGGTATCCCCATAGCTCCCAGCAGCACGAAATCCTCTCTGTTCCCTGACCACGGCGTTTGCGTTGGCTTCCTGGGGTGAGAGGTTGCCCCCGATGACTGCCCAGGGTTCCCCCATCTCTTTACTTTTCTCACGGTTTCTAAGATGCCCTGGGCAGTGTCAGACCCTCTTAGACTTTGCGAGCCTGGGGACAAGTCCGACTCTGTTCCACCTCCAAGCTGCTGCTGGATTCTACAAACCCCTCGTGCTGCCGCTTCTTGGGGTGACTGTGACCAGTTCCCATCCCCGGGTCAGTGCTGGTTCACCCCTGCCAGCCCTGGGTACAGATCGGGGAGGGGTCTGTGTTGCCTGAATCCCATGGTGTCAGGAATGCACGGCATCGAAAGGAAATGCAGCAGTTGGGGTCTGACAACTGGTTTGTTTCAACATGTAAGAAGTGGAGGGCTTTCTTCTGAGCGCTGAGGCAGAGGTGGAATCGTTTGGGAACTGCTGGAGGGACAAAATAATTAGGCTTGGACCCTGAACCTGAGGGATGGGACTTTCCAGGCTGATTCAGAGCCACTTTTCCCCCAAAATACCTCATTTGGGTACCTTGCAGGCAAGGCCAGCTGCTGCAGGCTGCCTGGTTCAGTTCTCCTTCCAGCGCTGCCTCTGCTTTTTCCCTTCCCTGCCCACTCCTTTTTTCTCTCCCCTCTTGGCTCCCTCCCCTCTGCCATTTGTGGGGGGGTTTGGGGCTTGCTGCCTCCCAGGACCCCCTTTCTGGGGATGATGCTTCGGGAGCCCTTGTGCCTTGGCTGAGAGAGACACCTAGTGGGGTCGGAGCTTGGGGACTTGGCTTGATTTTTTTTTTTAATTCTCACTTTTTTTTTTTTTTTTTTTTTTTTTTTTTAATTTCTTAGGAAGGGCTGATTCCTGTAGGAGCAGGAGCTGAGGTTTCAGAGTCATTCTGCTGGATTGATGGCCTCGGGGCAAAAGAGATGTTTGGTGGGCACAGGTGAACCAGCTTATTCTTCCTCTTTTCTTGCATCCATTGGCTTGGGGAGGACCCTCTGTCCCCCAGAGGTGGGTTGGATGTGGCTGGCTGTGATTATTTAGGTATCAATTCTGAGCTGGGGGAGGGTGTGCAGCTCCTGGAGCCATACATAGAGGATCTGGTGTTCCCAAATCTGCCACGAGATGGGGGGGCTGGCTCCAGGCTGGGGCTGGGGGTTTTGGTGGAACCCAGGAGGCCAGGGCAGGGGTGTGTGACTCCAGGGGCTGTGGTTTAGGGCTGGGGGGCCGTGGATGTGGGTGGGTAGGGTGATCTTTTGTGGGGCATGTGTCTATGTGGGGGGATAACTGCAGGCTGGGATGCTGGGGAATTAAATTATGTTTTTATTTGCTTCCAGTACTGCCAACTGTTGCTTATTCTCCGTGCAAGAGAGATGCTCTGCACAGACCCTGCCTGCAGCCTGCAGCGTGGAGGGAGCTGGCTCTAAACAACTGGTGGCTGGTGAGTCCCGTTGTGTCCAGCACCAGCTGTGTGTTCCCTGCAGGAATTCAGGGATGAATTTGCCTCTGACAGACTACAGGTCTGTGCAGTGTGTTTGGAACCCAGGGTGGGTTTGTGCTCTCTTACTGAGCCGCTCTGGTTACGAGCAGTTTTGGGAGGTGGAGAACAGAAGGTTTAAGTTCTGGCTGACTTTGCTCTTTCCCCCTTTCTGGTTCAGTGATGCTGTCAGCCCAGCGAGTGCTGCAGGAAGCAGACAGCTCTTCCACGCACAACAGCCAGCGCAGGGTCTGCACTCACGCCTGGAGCCCACCCCAGCAGTGAGACAAGTGAGGGTCCAGCCAGAGGTAGGAAAAGCTGCAGGATCGGGGGCAGTGTGTGTGGGGAGGGAAGACTCCCTTGCAGCAGGGTCTGTGGCAGAGAGGGGTTCGGTTACAGAAGCAGCACCGTGCTTCAGAGCAGCAACGTGCGCTTACAGAAGCTCTTTTGTTTCTGCTGGGGAAAACAGAGCAGAGTTGGGCTGGCTTCACGGGATTTCTTTCAGTAAATGTTTCTTTTTATATTGCTGCCGCCTGTAAAAATTGTCCTTAACTCTGTTTCTTTGCAGGAAATGCTCTGAGCTGTGGACTATCTGCTTGCAAGGCCCTCACAGCCCTGCTTCTGGAGGATACACCAGCCCTTGCTGCCTCTGAAGCTCAGTGGTGAGATGGCATTTAAAATCCTCTTCTCTCAGGGAGAACAAAGCTGGCACCTTCACGTGTCCAGGCTGCCCTTTGGATGCTGGAAATGATTTGGATGTTTTTTGTTTTTCACCGAGGGTCTGTTTGCCTGCCTGGGAGAGAAGCAGCGCATGAGTGCAGGGACGGCAGCACAGCGTGGTGGCCTGCTCCAGCTGATGGCAGCTCCAAGGTGAGTGTGCTGGGGGTGGGGAATAACTCTTACAGGTTTCCAGGTGGGAAGCTGCTTCAAGAACTGCTTAGTGTGCTGCTCAGCTTCAGTCCTGGATCCCCAGGGACTCTCAAAACAGAGTTTATCCTCAATTTTTTTTTTTTTTTTTAAGGATGCCCAAACCAGCACAGCAAGGTTGCTGGAGTAAAGTTTTTATTTTGAGGAGCTCAGCTCCCTATTTAGCTTCAGTCATTTGTGCTGCCAGGTCCTGGGTCAGGAAAACTTGCACAGGAGCTCATGAAGAACCACAGAGACAGAGGATTAGAAAATATCCCAGTTTATTAGAGCATCTCCACTTCACAGAGAGTTTTACAAAACAGTGTATTTACAGGGGAGGAAGGGGCTAACTCAACTCAATGGGAGTGTGCTCTTCTGCCCAGGAGAAAAAGGAATAAAATCCGTGTATTCACAGGTCACATTATGGCATTTTTCTTTACAAAAGTAAGAATGGTTTAAAAGTCTGGTGTCTGGCACAGCTAACCTGTGTTGTTGTTGCAGGTGACAAGCTGCAAGAATGCGTTCAGTGCTGTCCCTCTGCTGGAAGTCCCCCCAGACCTCTGTCCCCAGGGTGAGTGACAACGTCTTTTGGCCAAACTTTGCTCCTACAGCCCTGGACTCCCCAGGACCAGAAGCCAAGTCGGACAGAAGAGGGAAGGAGGAGACCACAGCGTGGGACACCGCCCAAGGAGGGAGCCGGAAGAGGATCCCCCAACACCATGGTAAAAACTCCTCTTCCCCACCCCCCCCAAGACTGAACAGCAGAGAAAGGGGTGCGGATGGTTGTTTGAAAACAAACGAAGGGCTTGATCAGAATTCTAAAAGCGCTTGTTTTTGAACTTGTCCCAATAAAATTCGCCTCTAAACATAAAGTGTTTGTCTTTTTCTTTTTTTGTTTATTTAAAGTTTATTTTTTTTTTTATATATGTATCTTGAATGAGGAGCCCTTCACATTGTTCTTGGGAGCTGCTCTGGCTTACCCCAGAGGGAAATTTCTCAAACTCCAACCATTGATTTCTGAGTTGGGAAGTGGGAACACTAAGGGGTGGTTGGTGCACAGGTGGAGTCCCAGGCGCTTGTGGCGAGGTAGAGGGAGGGTTCAAGTTCACAGTAGAGGCTGGGCACTGCCAGGAGGAAATGCAGAGTCCCAGGGTCAGGCTCCAGCCAGCGTTGTCCATGTCACACAGCAATGAGCGTGTCCCTAGAGCCCTGTCTGCTGTTTGATCCAGGCGCGCAGGCTCGTGACGCGGCTGTACACCCCGGGCTTGTTCCTCTGTGCGCAGCCATCACCCCAGCTCACGATGCCAGCCAGGAACATGCGGCTGCTGGCCTCCACACTGACCAGGGGCCCACCAGAGTCTCCCTGAGCAGAAATGAACAGTAGCATAAGCACTAATCCCAAACCTTGTCCTAATACTAAGTCATACATCACAAAAAAAAAATAATTACTAAGCTATCCATACAATTGCAATTTGGCCATGCCCTGAATAAAAAAGATTGTTCCTATATCTAAACCAAGTATTTAAGTATGCATAAAGAGAGTAAATAAAATTACTAAGTCAGCTGTCTGTCCAGTTCCAATGTGGCCATCCCCTTAATCAAGCCAAGTACTTGTTTTACATATAGGAACAATGTTAAGTATGGCAATAAGAGTCACATTGCTAGAATAAAGAGCTAACAAGCAGCCTGCCTTGCTAACTACGGCTCTCAGCAATAACCTGAGTGTGGTCGCACTGTCCTCCTACCTTGGGAGATGGTTTTGAGACCAAGTCCCATGCCAAGACTAAGTCCCATGTCAACACAAAATCGCTGCTCGCACCCAATCCATCCGCTGCCCGACTCAGGGAGCACCCACGTGGATTCGGTGTATATTAAGTGTGGCAATATGAATGGAAGCGCCAGAATAAAAAGCGCTGAGCGAACGGCCTGTCTTCCTCACTACCAACTGCTCCTCCTCACAGCCACAAACCGTGGCGCTGCCTTACCTGGCAGGCGTCCACGCCGCCCGTCAGGATCCCCACGCACATCATGCGCGGCGTCAGCTGGTCGGTCAGCAGCTGGTTGCACACCGTCTGGTTGATGATCCGGATTTCTGCTTTCTGCAAGATGGAGGCTCCGCTGCCTGTGAGGAAGAGGGAGCACCATAAATAAAAGCACGCAGCGTTTTTAAGCAGCATTTCCCTCCCCTGCACGCTTCGTTCGGGCTCTGAATGACTGAACTCACATTTTCATAATTCTGTTTTTCCAGCAGGACCCAGACATTATCTTTGCATGCTCCCAAAGGAATCTCATCTGATTGCAGTCTCAACATAAGCTAATACATTTAAATTTTATCAAACCAGCTCCCCTTTTCCCTAAAACCACAGGCAAAAACATCTCAACATGGCCCCAAATAGCACTCACCTCCTTCCGAGGTCGCTCCCCAGCCGGTCACCCACAGGTCCTTGCCCACGGGGAAGTTGTGGGTGGCATCGGGCAGGCAGATGGGCTGGACGACGGAGGAGAAGGTGACGGGGGTCTGCAGCTCCATCACGGCAATGTCGTAGTCGTAGGTGTAGTCGTTGAAGTAGGGGTGGGAGATGATGCGCTTGATTTTCCGCGTTTGCACGTTGGCGCCATTGCGGTTGCCCTGGTTGGTCAGACCCAGGTAAGCTGTCCACAGGCTGGGGTCCGAGTACCTGCAAGAATCCCGAAAAAGGATGAGGCTCCATCTCACCAACATCCTCACTCGCTGTCTTACATGATTTCCTAGAAGTGCCTCTCAAAACTGGTTTTTCCTTTTGAGGCAAACATCTGAAAATGGAAGTGCAGCTGCCGGGGTGTCCTGCCTCCAGCAGGGGGTCCCCGATGCGGCTCCCACCTACCTGATGCCCTGCATCTGCAGGAAGCAATGCGCGGCGGACACCAGCCAGCTCTCGGAGATCAGCGACGCCCCGCAGGTGTGGCCTTGGCCCTTGGCGTGGAGGCTGACCTGCCCCGGCCCTTCTCC